TCCAGAAATCTTTTGGGGTTTTTTTTACTCAATTTCCTTTGCAAACGCCTAGCCTCCAAGGAGTTACTCGTTCAGGGCTAACCCCACAGCTGGAGATGTCAGAAAAAAATATATCACTACTCAAACGAGCAACACGTGCATCCACAAACCTCTGCGATTGCCATTTAACCCAGTGTGGACAAAAATACACAAATGCAAAGCTGCTGCTTGAGTGCTGGGTTTTTTGGTTAACGCTGAAAAGCAGAATCTCTACAAATAAGCAATACCAGAGCATTTACGTTTCATTGTAACACTTAGGTGATTGCACATGCAAAGAGGGTCCCATTCTGCAAATAACACATGCAAATGCAACAGTGAACGGGCATATTGCTCTGGCTGCATTTTCTGCCTACGCCAACGTTTATGCACGTCCTGCTGCTGTGACAGTGGGTCAGTGTTGGGTCTTACCCAGCAATCATGAACTGCGAGCACCATTCATGCCTACGAGATGAAATAAGCCCTTTCAAGCTCGCAGTGCTGCACTCCTGTCCCACAAAGGACTATTTTCCTCTGGGAAAAAAAAGTCACATTCAAAGAGGCAGACAACTGTCACAGAGTTGGTTGTTGCATCTTGGCCCAGAGCAGAGACAGACAGCATTGAAAATAAGCGTCTGGTATCAGAGAAGATGGAGTGCAGCAGCATTTATTCTTAAATTATCTAGCAAAGAGCCTGTGGAAAACCTCCGAGCTGTGTATGTAAAACTGTATGAGTGCTCAGTCACACATAATTTTGTTAGGTACATACATTAAACCAGTAGTTGCTACCAAAACCTCTTTTATAAAGCCTAAAAAATATTCCTGCATAATTCTGTTATAAAATATGCCATTGTTTTGCATGCAGTGGTAAACTCTGCTTCTGGGAAACAAATAATCCAGTCTGGGTCCCTGCCAGCAACAGAACAGCTCATCACCTCTTACGTTTCCAACAATAATACATAATACAATGTCCTAGAACATTCATATTCTAAAATAGCAGCAACTTCAGTTTTGAGACAAATTTGCAAATATCCCTGACAATTACCAATGGGGTGCAGGCTGGAAATCGCATCACATATCAGGTAAGTGCTAGGAATTAGTGTCTGCCACACGTTCTTCATGTCTTATGGGCATCATTCACATCCACACAAGTTCCTGTCACTTACGTGATTTCCTTGTTTGTGTATTTAACTAAATTAGTAGTTTTGGTTTTACTTTCCTAATGCCTTATCTTGTTGTTTGTGCTCTGATTTCTGCAACTAAAATTTCAGGGCATGACCGGCCGTATGAGGAAGCTGATTAAAAGGAGTGTCCATTTTTCTGTTGTTTTCACTCTGAACTGAGCCAATACATCAAAACAGGTTTCTGTCACAAAATCATATCAAAATAACTGAATAATGCTTTTCTTTGTCCGTCTAGGCTCTGTCTAGACAATGAAATGGCAAGATTTCTGGACCCAATTAGTGTAGTTCAGCAGCAAACGGTGGTTTAAGTAAGATGTTATGAATTGCCTGTGGTGCTGAGGGTCTTTCTGGGTTGGGCTCTCTCCACCTCAGCCCAGCACAGAGCTGCAGTTTTCTAACTGGGAGCTTGGCACCTCTGCGGGCATGGAGACAGATTGTGGGTGACAGCATCTGCTCCCGAGGCCATCCCATGGCTCAGCTTATGGGGGTTTTGTCCCCATTAAGGATCAGTAACTTCCACTTCTCTTCCCTCACCTTCAGGGCTACTGGGGGTTGTTGCAAATGTGTACAGAGCACGGTAGATCCCATGAAGGGTCTTCAAAACTATGATCTGCAGAGCATTTGACCCAGAGCTTTTGGAGATGTGCAGAAGGGGGAAGTGAACCTGCAGTGGCGAGTGCCAGAAAGAACCTGAGCTTTTCAGAGTTGCCAGCAGCATTTCTGCTGCTTTCTTCCAGCCCAAGCCTGGCTGATAAAGCTGCACTCCGGCTGCCCATTTCCCCACCCAAGGTGGATGCTTGTGGACCTCATCTCCTGCTCTCAGAGCTCTTCCCTGGACAATGTTCCTTCCTCCCAGAGCTAAGTCCAACATGCAATAAGATTAAAGCCTCCACTGCCTGTATTACCTTGTATTATTTTTCCAAAAGGCAAAATGTACCTTTATGCACCCTTCCAGACCTGCATCTTTTGTTTGCATCTCTCACCCTTTGCTCAGACCTGGGATCAGTGACTCAGCACGACAACATTTGGCCTCAAACAATCCTGCCCATAATAAAAACAACAGTTAAACCAGCCAAACCCAAAACCCCTGCTCTCAGATAATCCCTTTTTCTGGTATAACTCTAAAGTCTTTGGAGAGATGGGTTTTGCCTGTAGTCCCAGGCAAGTGTGACTTTCCTGAGGAATTTGGAGCCTGTCTTTGTAAAAAATCTCTCCAGTTTGCAAGTCAAAATGCTGATAGCAAATGCTACATCGCTGGCCAGGCTCCAGGCCAATAACCTTGTCAATGCACAACCAGCAAATACATAAAAGTTGTGGGTGTGTATAAACAAAAGCAAGTCCCTGCTGACTTGTATGATGAAACGTTGACCAAAGGGTGGCTGCTCTCTGATTATCACCTGAGTAACCGATCAGGGAGACCAGGGCAGATGGTTCAGAAGGCAGCAATGGTGCTTCCTAGGAAACATGGGCACCCTGACCATCTTCAAAGTCAGCCAAGAGAAGGTATGGTTCCACCACTGAAACATTAAAAAGTACAGTCCTTTTTCTAAGCACTTGCTTATGTTCTGCTTTCTATAACAAAGACTAATAAAGTACTTTAGCTGCGCTCTCAGCTAAACCTATGGAGGTTTTTGCTCATTTCTCCTTGGAATTTAAAGAGATTTGAGCAAACTTAAGGAAAAACAAAATCTGAAGAATACTATTAGCTGTTGAATTTGTATGGCAAATCATAAAAAGCCCTCCTGGATGGCATGCAGAAAGTGTAAGGTTCATAAGCTCTTTAATGAGGTGTCAGTGGAAGACTTTCAAGAACAGCCTGGAATAGCTTCACAGTGCACATGAGAGAAGATCTGTACAAGTGTATTTTTGCAGTTTCTGGGTAGGGAAGTGAGTAGAATTACCTTCAGGAAAGCCCATCACAAGGAGAAAGAGATATTACGTGTAGTACTACAGGTATTAATTTCTAAAAAACAACACATGGATAAAATGGTATCGGAGAAAACCTTCTTTAAAGAAGAATTGCAGTGGTTCAGTGATGGGTTAACTGAAGACGGCCTCTAGAAATTAATGAAGCAAGGAAAGAGTCCAGGCTGAGCTGGTGGAAAGGATCCTGAACCGATAAATAGTGTTCCAGTTCAGGGGAGCCTGGCACAGCTGCAGCTCCAGGAACTAGGGGAGCTGTAAAACCACTGCCATCCCAGCACCACATCACAGGGAGAGTTTTTCCTTTAAGTTACTCATCAGGAGCTTTCTGAATCCTGAAAGGAGGTTTTAATACCTGAAAACAGGTTTTAATACCTGAAACGCTTTTAGCTTCCAGCAGAGCAGGCATGAGCCAGTGCCAAGTATTCTTTGAAATCTCAGCTTTGATGTGTTGCTTATGTTTATGTCATCTACTGCAAAGCTGAGAGTGAGCAAGAGCGCTGTGCTCTGAGCAGAGACGGGAGTCGGGGGTTCCCCTTTCCTACGAGGACTAGATACTCCTTCTTGCATGCGTGACGCCAATAATTCTCTGCAGCGCACACTGGGAAAAGGGATGCAGCAGCCTGAAGTGGGAAATGCCCCTCGTTCAGCCCCTCAGCATCACAGAGCGTGGAGGCTGGGAACTGAGGCTCCTCTGGATGTTTCTATGCTAAAGAGAAGCTGGAGAAGGATCTTTGGAGCTCTGCAAGAGACCCTGGGTGCCAGCTTCCCACCAAAGCCTTGTTAGAAGTCCCAACTCAGGTCTGGCCTTCACAAATGCCTCTCTCCTGGCATTATTCGCCAGCGACCCTTCAAGCACCAACAGGACATGTTGCTGTAATTTAAACAAATAATACCAAATCTACTAAATATGGCTGGTCAAGTCATAGTATATAAGGGAGTCACTATTAAATAAAATGTATTAAAAATGCAGATAAGCCTCCAAATAGTTGCAGAGAGCAAGACCACCTTGCTAAAATTGTGTTGAATATATTTTGTTTCTTTCTTGTTATGAAAGCTTGCAGGAAGCCAGGGAGAGTCCTGGAAATGCAAGGATTGCAGGACTGGTAAACCTGGCAAAGTAGCCATCCTTGCATTTAAGGTTGTAAACCCTGATATAGTGGCATGTCCATTTCGGAGATTATTTCAAAACAAAGAGGGAGGGGGAGTTTTAAGTACCACTTTGCCGCATTTCATTCGATGTCAAATTGGTTGTTTAGTTTTTGCCTGCAAGAGACTCCACCTCCTTTCAAAGTCCCCTTAAACCCTGTAGAGAATTTATCCCAGTACAGCTCCTGCTTCACACTTAACGGTTATGCAGGCAAAGAAAACCAAATATCCTCAGGCTCACTGCAGCGGATTCAGATACCCGGTGCCTTGGAAAACCGCTGCCCTGAAAAAGAAGGATTTCCACTTGGATTGAAGTGCTTTCTGGCTTGATACTTCCATTTATATTTTCTTGGCCCTAAAAATAATCTAAAGGAAGACATCGCCTGTTAGTGACCTGGAAAACACCTTCTTCCTCCTTTTCCTTCCTCCTTTTTTCTTTCTTTTTTAGAGGAAAAAGAAACTCAAGGGGGAGAGTTGTTCTTCAGTTTTTGTTCTTCAAGTGTAGGCTAAAATGCCAGGCAAGGAGGAGGCCCTCAGCATCGCTTATCTCCTCCTGGAACTGCATTTCATCACTTGGAAAACAGGACGAGAGGACGTGAGACCTCTCATCCCGATGTCTTTTTAATGGCACTTCGTCATATGCATGGGGATTCATAACACCAGCATCCACTGCAAGAAAATGAGCAGATGCCAGAAGGTTTTATTTTACGCTTAGCCGAAGAAAAAAACATGAGCGCATTTTCTGTCTTAAATGCTAGCAACATTTCGCAGGCTGACTCCCTCGAGGACAGTGGCAATTGGACGGTGATAACCCAGTTTACCCAGCCAGGATGGCAAATTGCTTTGTGGGCTATCACCTATTCCTTCATTGTTATCACGTCCATCATCGGCAACGTCACCATCATCTGGATTATTCTTGCACACAGGAGAATGAGGACTGCTACCAATTACTTTATCGTTAATTTGGCTCTTTCGGATTTGCTTATGTCCACTTTCAATACCATCTTCAATTTTATTTACGCCAGTCACAACGTCTGGTATTTTGGCGAGGAATTCTGCAGGTTTCAGAACTGGTTCCCCATCACCGCAATGTTTGTGAGCATTTACTCCATGACAGCCATTGCTGCAGAGAGGTAAGAGGCAAATGGAGAATATAAGGTCCAAAAAATTCACTGTAAGTTATAAAAAAATTATTGCAACACTTTGTACAATCGGCCCCCACCTACCATGTCAGGTGCCTTATCAGCAAAGTGGGAGGAGTGCCAGGCAAGTAGGCTATGGGGTTAGATGCTAGTTACGGCATGAAAGGAAGGCTCCTCTGTCTTGTCCCTAGTCTGAATCACACCTGAGTGTGTAATGAGTGGAAGTGGCTGGTATTTTACTGTTCCCGTGTTACTGATCATAAATTATTTCCCAGTCACCCTGCAAACTCATCTTTTCTTTTTTTTTTTTTTTTTAAATTACGAGAAGGAGCTCTCATTTGGACAGAGCTTCAGTGATAACGAATATGCTGCAGGATGCTGAAAGTATCAGCGTCTACAATCTCACTTGTGAGTCCAGCAAGCCACCAGAAATAATGGGAATTGGATCAGAAGTGGCAGAATCTGCTCCAATAGTTCACCAGAATGACTTATTGCAAGAGGGAGGAAAGTAATTACAGTGATTTTGTTTGACTTCTGAGGTAATTTGGTATTTTCATAATACTCTCTCACATCTGCCAAGTCTCTTACTCAAGCTTAAATTTGTGGAGTCTGAATGTGTTTACAGCTCATTGTTAAGTAGTGTGGTGCTGTTTTTCTTTTTACTAGAAAGTGGCCAAAAGTCCAAGGGAATTTCCTCTCAATAGCAATGGCATAGAAAAGAAGCAGAGGAGGTTAAGCTCCCTTCTAGGCTCTCTGCCTTCCTTCCTTCCTGTCTTCCTTCTGTTTCTTCCACTCTCTGCGGAGGAGGTTAAGATCCCTTCTAGGCTCTCTGCCCTCCTTCCTTCCTGTCTTCCTTCTGTTTCTTCTACTCTCTGCTGGTGCTGGGAACACCTGTATCTTTTCCATTCTGTGGCCCTGCCATGACCCCACAGCATAGTTCTTCCCACAGGCAGCCGGACCTAGCATCCCGAAATACCTGGAGGTCCTTTATCAAACCCTCCTGTTGACTTTGCAGTTTCCTTCATGTTTCCTCCATTCCTTATCAAGTGTGTGCATCCACAAAGGGCCCTTCCAGCTCCTTTGGGACCCGAGCCAGCATCCCGCTGGGAAAATAAAAAAAATAAAAATCTGAAAAGCATTGCTCCATGAGTCATCAGGGTCACTTTCATAACTGCTGCTCCTGCTTGCAGCTTGGGTCATGCCAGCACACCCAGCATCAGGAAGCAATCGATAGATAAATCTAACCAGATTAAAAAAATGAGCAGGAGAAGGAAGGCTTTGCCCTGTGTGCGTGTAATGATCACTGAAACCTGCACTGGAGCTGGGGATGTGGCCCAGATGGACAGGCAGCAGCCACAGCACAGGGCAGCGGTCCCTGCAGTCACTGGAGGGATCGCTAACAAGCACAGGGAGGAGTGATGCCTTTATCAGATTGCGGTTGTCCAGTTGAAAGCAAATCCCTATTTAGAAGCTATGGCAGCTCAGTTGTAGACTCAAATACTCTTTTGCTGTTCCTGGCTTTAAATCAAGAGTTGTTGGTAACTGCTATTTTATACATGCAGTCTGACAAAGAATATTATGGTGTGTTTGGTTTTGTTTTTTTTTAAATCCATTTCAGTCTATCCTCATGTCTTCCTGTTCTCATTCCTTGGGGAGTTTTGGTGAAAGTACCTATACAGCCAAAATCTCTTTAGTCACATTGCACAGATCAGAAAGAAAACCTGGCATCTCACTGCAAACCATATTTAGCTATTCTTTGCTTAGCCTTAAAATAGATCCTGACACTGTCTCCTGGAAACTTGCAGCTTCCATTTATTGTTATGAGAACTTGCGTCTAGTTAGGCTCCGTTGTTTAACTTTGATAAAGCAACGTCTTTTGAAGTGGTTTATTGTAAGGAAGGAGGCTAAGAAGTGACAGCTCTATAAGTCATCTTTGTCTGCTGTGGAAAAGGCCCTGGCGATATTGCTCACTGTTGGGTTTGGGACCACTCTGTTTCCCTGTTTCAAGCTGCACTGTGGACCGTAGCAGCTGTTTCCACTGCACACTCTCCACAGCACTCCAGGCAGAAATGTAATATATCAGATCAAGTTTCACACTCCAGTTAGCAAAGCCTCCTAGGCACTCTTCAGAAAGTGTGCAGGAGTGTCCAAAAACTCAGCTTGTTTTGTCTGCATGGGACGAAGACCAGATGAAGGGGACCAGGAGCATGGTCCCAGCATCCTATTTGTTCAACCGAGTAACAAGTGACAGGAGAAGAAGAAATGGCCTCAAGTTGCACCAAGGGCAGTTGAGATTGGATCTGAGGAAGAAAAGGTTCTCAGGCATTGGAAGGGGTTGCCCAGGGCAGTGGTGGAGTCCCCATCCCTGGAGGAATTGAAGTGGTGTAGACATAGTGCTGGGGAACATGGTTTAGTCGGGGACTTGTCAGTGTGAGGTTAATGATTGGACTCAATGATCTTAAAGGCCTTTTCCAATAGAGGTGGTTCTGGGACATCACAGGGAGCAGAGCACAGAGACAGGGCACAGGGAGCACGAGCAGAAGGCGGGCAGAGGCAGCCCCGCCATGCCGCCTGAGCAGCCAGGAGATCTCAGTAGATTCAGTAAATCTCCCAACTTGCAGGAGCTTGCCTAAGAGCATGGCTCGCCTCAGGGGTTCATCCCTGTCTGAGTGGGAAAACCTCCACCCAGCAGCCCTGTCATACCTTTGGTATCTGGAACACAGGCTGCTGTGTCAGGCTGCTTTGGCAGCACAGTGGCTGGCATCATTTATACCCAGGACTTGCTGTTCACCAAGAGCCATAGATTGTGGATTTGGGCACTTCTGTGGGTAAATATTCTGGAGAATGTTCTCTGCTTGACTGCTCCCTGAGCAGACTCAAGCACAGCATAATACTGCCTACAATGAGCTAAAGAAAAGCAAGGTGACATGAAAATTTTACAGCTAAATAAGGCTTTGCTGCCGTGCAGCCCCAGCTTACTTACTGTGCCGTCTGTCTGTGCAGCCACCCTGTGTCCTGCCGCAGCAGCCAGGCAGAGTTCCTTCCCAACGGCCTGGCCAAGAAACGCACAGAGTTGGTCAGATTTTTGCTACAAAAACCAGGAGGCAATTTGGATTTTTCACTCTATTTTGCCTTTGCAACAACCATGACAAAGAGTATGGAGAGCATGACAAGAAATGCATAATTGATTATGTACTCATTACGATTCCATGCATTTCTACACGGGGAACTTAAAACCAGAGAACACCCCGGGCTTGCAAGTAACCTAATAGTCAGATACACCATGAGGGCTCTGAGCAGGTGTGGGACAAAAGGGTCAGCCTTCCCTTTCCACCAAAAGCACAAGTGCTCAAGCGTTTACGGGCAGAGCTGGATAGCACAAGACTTTTCCACTGCTAAAAATCAGGGGAAAAAAATCCAGGGTAAAGGATACTCGAGACGCCAATCTGCTGTTGTGATAATATGGGCCGTTAGAGGAGACTGATATAATTAGGGCGGAACAGAGTGTTTAGGCTTTTTTGGTAGCAGAAGGAGAAAAAGGCATGGTTTAAGCAGTGCGTAACTCCAAACTAACAAACAGTTCGCAGCACAAAATTTCAGACCAAATACCTAATGCATTTGAAAATTTAATTTTAAAAAAAGATTAAACAAAGAAAAATTCAAAGTAAGGGGAATACTTGCAAAGACTATGCAGAAGGCATAGATGACTGCTTCCTCCTCACACCAGAAACATCCATCCACATGGGTTTAATATATTCTGTCTTAAGACTTGCAATTTTTCTGTTTAGAAAAGATTTGTCTCCCTCCAATTATTTGTAGCCTAGAACCTGTCAAAATGTCTCTATAAATAAAGCTTATCATACTGTCTGGTGACTTCTTACACTTGCTATATTTGTTCTGTATTTTACAAATGCAGCTGTAAAAGCATTACCTATTTTTCTCACAGGTATGTAGCAATAATTCATCCCTTCAAGCCCCGGCTTTCTGCTGGAAGCACCAGAGTCATCATAGGGATAATCTGGCTGGTGGCGTTTGGGCTCGCCTTTCCCCAGTGCTTCTACGCCGAGATCATGACGGACAACGGAACAACAAAATGCATCGTCGTCTGGCCCGATGATGTTGGATCCAAGCACCAGCTCACGTAAGAGAAACAAAAACTCCTGATTTGTGCAGAAGTTAACTACGAAAGTAATTTCCTCTCCAAACTGTTGGCTACAGGCAGTACTGGGAGAGAGGGCAGGGGGGAACCACGCAGCAGGGGAATATGGGTCTGGGGCAGCCTATTAAGCTCAGTTTAAGCCGGCTGTTGAAAAAGCTGCCAGGTGATCATGGCTCAGGGTAAAGAAGGGTGATGTGCCATCCTACCATGCTTTGAAAAGTGGTTATAAGATCTAGAAACCCTAGATACTGGGCTCAATGGATTTAAGAGAAACCAGCACAGAAAGTCTCTAAACAAGTAACAAATCCTGTTTCCAAAGTTTTTGGATTTTCTCTCCTCTATCAGGCATGAAGAATCTGGGTATTTTTAACACTGAGAAGCCACAAAATTAGCTAAAAATTATGCTGCTCTTTGTGTGTGTGTGTAGAGGGGGGGCAGGAGGGGAAGGAAGCAGGGTGGAGAAAGAAAGAAAGAAAGAGGAGCCTGTTTCAAACATCCTAAGGTTTTATAGACTGATTTATCTGGGCACACATCTGCACTCCCAAAAGCTCTTAACCCCCACAGCAATTTCCTCCTGCTTTAAAGCAAGATTGTTCAGACAGATGAAACAAGCCATACCCCGCATTTAGGGGGATCTGCTGTGATTAATCATTATTCAAAGCACATGATACACAGAGCAGTTTGAGAAATTTATCAAGCAAAACATATTTATACAAAGTAGTAATGGAAGAACTATGAAAAAGGAACAAATTGATTAACAAAGTGGAAACTATTTTTTCAAACCAAAACCAAATGCTAAACTCCCTGTGTCTGTTCTTTGCTGTGGATGCTTTTGCCCAGCTACATGCACCAGGGACATTTTTTCCTTCTCAGTCTTCATCTCTGGCAGAGAGCTGGATGCCTCCTGAGGTTAGTTATTACCAAACTAACCAGTTTTCACACTAATACGTGCCAAGTTCCAGGAGCTTCATGTAAGTTTGGCTGAGCTGCAGCACGTTCAGCCACTGGGAGTCAGTTGTCCCCAGTCTCCAGAGTCACAGAAGAGAAAAATCAGGCTCACATCACGTTGGGTGATGTTCCTCCTGGGACTCCTTGGCTGGTACCCCATGGCACATGCTGGGGAATGCAGTATGCCATGTTCCTAGTGACTGAGAAGGAGGGATAGTAGATAATAACTTATTTAAGTTACTGACAACTATTTCATTCAGATGAAAAGCGTGAGGTTTATTTCTCCCACATCCACTGTCTGGGAAGGATTGAAACAGGAGCTTCCCAGCATGCCAACAAAATCTCGGCAGGCTGGAAAAGTTGGTCCTGAACGCAGCAAATAATGAGGCAGGTTCTTTCTGGGATCCCCAGCTGAAGAGCAGCAGCTCCCGAACACAATAAATCACTTCATTCACCAGCTCGCTCTCCCTGAACAGCCTCAGATTTGCAGGTTTCAGTAGCTCTCCTAGAAAGAAAGTTGGAAGCTGTGCTCCCCAGAAATCATCTTGAGTGATGGATCTGTCGGGACCAACGCCTGCAATACAGACCAGGGAGAAAAAGCCACATGCAGCCATTAATGTGCTAATCCAAATACAGAGGGAAAGAAATACTAAGAAACCCAAAGGAAAAACAAAGAAATGGAGAACCAGGTTCCTCTGTTAGACTGTGGGTCCTCCAAATCCTTCTTAGTCAAGTAATCCAGCTTTCTAGATTTCAGAACAAAGGAAAATCCTTTTCTGCAGGGAAAATATGTATAATTACGATAGAAACAAGTCCAAAAAAACCCCAAACAATGCACTACTGTGACTGCCAGTGCCTGAGAAATCTTGGATATGAAGGGACTAAATTTGTAGAATTTTAACCAAAATAAAGAACCTTATCCACAGAGGCTGTTTTTTTGGTGACAGGTTAACTTTGCAGCAAAGCAGCAAAACTACAAGACTAAAAGTTTCCTTTTGCCATGTACTCAGGTTTAGGCTCCCATCCTCTCATCCTCCTCCCAGGATGGGAACTCAAAAAGGGCTTTGGGTTTCCACTACACTCCACACATGGTATTAGACCTTCAAAACAGACACTGCTCTGAGGACACTTGGGAAGGGTGGAAAACAGGCAATGACAAACTTGCCACATTTCACAAATACAATATTTTTCTATACACAGCCACACCGTTCTGATATTTGCAACCACCCCAAGGAGCAAACACCACCGAGCGTCCCAACACCTATTTCCACAGTGCTCTGCAAAGCAGTTGACCCCACTCACAAATGCAGCGAGTAACTCCAGAACGTTGTCATACTGAGAAAGACCATTTGCACCCACCCAGCCTTTTGTGGTCATTGCCAGCAGCGTGTGCCAGAGCCCTCCTGCCTAATCCTAGTTTTTACACTGTTTATGTTAACTTGACAGCTGCTCTAACTCAGTGAGCAAGTTGTTCCCTCCCCATAAATGGTGGTTGCTTAAAATAATCAAACTCCAGCATGAGGGAACCAGCAGAAGTTTGCGGGGTAACAGGGAAAGCTAGAAAGGGCTGAGCTAAAATACAAAGGAGATGCCAGCGCTTTCGGCCAGAGCAGTAACCGAGTAGCCTGTTGGTGACAGATAACTGCACGCACACACAAATAAAAACAGCCAGCAACACAAACACAGCAACGACTGACACTCACTTTCTGCATGCTATAAGCAAGCACCATTCCTTCCTTGCTAAGTCTTCCCTGTTGAGTTTGTGCACTCTGTTAGCAGCCAGCTACATTTTGTAATCTGTTTTCTTTCCACTGTTTCCGAATTAAGCTGTGGGCACTACCGCATTTGTCAAGTTATGCTGTAGTTTTCGTAATATTCCTTTTCCATACCTGTAACTTAAAAAGTTCATATACTTAGAGCCACAAGTCTTGGACATCTCTCTCTCTCTCTCTCCTGACTGCAGTGGGATGGCAAAGTTCAGGGCAGATGGCCGAGGACCATAACCCTCTGATAAAAGATAAATGATATTACTCTGTCTTGAAAGAGCAGTGAATCCAGTCCAAGGACTAATCATCACAACACGAGATGAGCTTTTGCTGTTTACAGAAGTCCCTGCAACAATGTTTGTAGGCAAAATTTCTGCTTCTTTATGCTTTGAGGTTGAAGTTAATGTGAGCCAGACATACATGTTCAAAAGACAATTTCTGAAAGAACCTTTCAAGAGACACACCGACTATGAAAACATGCTTCTTGTTCTTCTTTTTCAGGTATCACATTGCAGTGATCGTCTTGATTTATTTACTGCCTTTAATGGTGATGTTTGTTGCATACAGCATTATAGGAATTACGCTGTGGAGCAGTGCGGTTCCAGGCAACCACCTTAACAGAGTCCGCTATGAACACCAAGTTAATGCCAAAAAAAAGGTCAGAAGTGAAACTTTAAAATAATTATTACCCACAGCACACCAGCCCTGCTAGCTCCAGCTCCAAAACAGAGCTTGCACTTCATACAACATCTTGTGGGATTGGGCATGAAAGGTTGATGAAATATTTTGGGCTGGGGGTAAAGGGCATCACCCAGCAAGTACAAAAAAAATTGTGACATACATGCCCCAGCCAGCCTCCAAGGAAGAAAAGGTCATGTCAGTAGGCAGTGGGCCAGTTCCCAGCAGTCCTTAGAGAGTAAAGCCCGGTGTCCAGTGAATCTGGACATCGCAGGACAAACCAGGCCCAGGAATAATGGATTGGTTTTGTTTTTCTAGTTCGTGAAGACCATGGTGGTAGTTGTGATCATTTTTGCTGTCTGCTGGCTGCCCTATCACATATACTTCATCCTGGGGAACTTCAAGGAAGACATCTACCAACAGAAGTACATTCAGCAGGTTTATCTTGCAATCTTTCTCCTTGCCATGAGTTCAACGATGTACAACCCCATCATATACTGCTGTCTTAACCAAAGGTGAGTAGCATGTATGTGTGCGTGCAGAGAAAACAAAAATCTCAGTGCGAAAAAGCATAAATCTCTGGAGGCGAGAACAACTCTGATTTTCAATTGCATTCCATAGGCCAGGTAGACAAGTTAATTTATACTCTGCTAATTACATGAGATGAGCCACACGGTGCGAGTGAGATTTTAACTCAACCCTTAAGGTTTTCTGCTTCCAAATAAAGCACAGGCGTGGGTGTATGATCAGCGTAGCCACATTGGCACCCGTTTCCACAGGCAGACTACCTTATTTCCAAGGAAGGAGGGAGGAACCCATAATCCCTGCAACGCATCTGCTGACCTAATGCTGGGCTGGCTTAGCCACCCGCTCCTCCCGGGCCACCCCCAACAGCACAGCCTTGAGCCCCCCGTGCAGGCACAGGGCTCACGCCCATGGGGAGTTGGAGCAGCCCACGGGCAACCTGCCGAGGCTCCCGCCCGGGCACGCTGCCACGAACGAGCGGCTGGGAGAGCACGACCTTGTCGTGCCAAGAGATGTCTCTCTTGCTCTGCGCTGAGAACAGGCTGCTCTCGGGGACGCTGGTGCTGCAGGATGCTGGATTTGGGGAGCTGCTCTGGCTGCCCTGCGGATCTCCATGCCAATTCCTGCCTGCACATCCCTCTGCCAGACCTCTCCCTAATCCACATCTCTCTTCACCTCAGCTGTATGCACAGTGAGCTTTACAGGTAAGAAATAGTTATCGGCACACCTCCTCCAGCACCTCCAGCGCAGTTTCGCTGAGACTCCACCAGCAAAATGCCAAACTCCAGAGTGATGTCAGGAGGCTCACTCCTTCAGAGCATTTCAAACAGTGTCCTGCCTGTAAGCTTGCAAAAGAAGGCAGTTTTGCAGTCCACTCAGCCAATCTGCATTTAACATACAACACCCAAACACATCCTCCTCTTCCTCTCTCAGAAAGCAGACAGCTTCCTCATTTAATTATTCATAGTTTTTTAAAAAGTTTCCTCAGATGCTCTGCTTCTCATGAATGCTGTTATCAGCATGGTCAGCACCATCTACTGAGCACATCAAACATCCTGCCATTTAACTCATCTTATATATTTACTTAAAACATAAGGAAATCTGATAATAAACTCCTACTGCTCTTCCATCCATGGATTCATACATTTAGCTCTGCAACTAGCTCCTTTAATTTCAATAGAAACTTTTTATTTCCATGATCATTCAGAGGTAGAAACAAAAACATGCATTTGTTCTTTCTCGGTGAAATTAGAAAGATCATTTCAGCATTTAATTTATTCTCTTACATTTACAGGTTTCGTTCTGGCTTCAAATTAGCCTTCCGGTGGTGTCCGTGTATAAAAGCCACTGAGAAAGACAAACTTAAACTTACATCCCCATCTCTTTACCAGACAACCCACAGGAAGTCAAGAACAACAAGTTTCAGCACAGAAACTCAATTGAATGAGAAAGAAAAAACATCATTTACCCTCACTCAGCTAACGCTTTGATTTTCTCCTCCTGGTTGTGGCTCTTTCCTAATACTCCATTTCAAGGCAGCAGATTTGTAGAGGTCTGAGGCAGGTTTTTTTTTCTGAAGCAACTGTTTTCCACAGGACTTTTTCAGATGGTATCAGCATTGAAAACAGTCCACTGATAATACTTACATCCATGCAGGTCCAAATATCACCCAGCTATGGATGCAAGTTCAGCCCTCCCTTACACCAACGACTGCAATACGGAACAGAGAGATTTTGCCCATGAGGTCAAAAAAGAAACGATGCAGACCTCAGGCAGTGCCAATCAGTAGAACATAAATTATTCTCTTCCAGATAGCAATCTCCTGCTTTCTGTTCCACCAAGATACTTAAATCTGGAAAAGAGGCAATGGAGCAGAAAGGCTGGTGCACATCTGGCCCAGTCTAGATGGATCCTCAGGGCTGTGTGGGCAGTTAAGGCCCATGGCTCAGGAGCCCAAAGGCGGACAAGACTGTGGAGCAAAGCTTGTTTACGACAAAGGCAAATACTAACACATCCAGACTGAAAAGCCTGCCCCAAAAAATTTCCTGAATTCTGGGATTTTTATGCCTGCAATTTCACCAGCACCATCTCTCATCAGTTAAAAGCAAGAAAGAGTTCCTTAAGATGTCATCACTGCATGAATTTCTATAACTTTGTACCAAAATACGATGACATTTTCCTATTAAACTGTGCCCAAGTGATTCCTCTAATTTCACATAGTTAATTGTGGTGCTTAATTTGGAGAGCGAGGCTCTCTGGAGTCAGTAGCCAGGTGTGGGATGCTCACTGGCTTGGTCAGGGCTTATAGATCTAATCTGAATCCACCCCCCTAACCTCCTATTAGTCCTAACCATTGTCTGACCCATCACTGTTTTATTCCAGATATTCCTTTCATCTTCCCTTTCCAGACTTACCCTGTTTTTGTTATCACCATTCTTCTCTTCTCAGGTACAAAAATAAAGGCTGAAATATGTCATCTTCAAAGCCTGAGGCATTATGTGCTGGCATGCAAAACAGGAAAAGCTGAAATATAAACATTATATAGAAGTAATACAGCATTTAATACTGGTGTGATAAGTAGCACCTCGCAATCACCCTCACCTTTCCTGACAGATTTGTATATAATATCACAGAGCCATACCTTAGCATACAAAAAGCTCCTACAACGTTGACAAGATCCAGTTATTTGAAATACTCTCTTTTGCTCTGTGAAAGCAAAACTACAAAGTGTTGCCAGGCTTAAATTCTGCAGTAAATTCAGAGAAAAGATTGCTGGCTTGAACTGAAAGAGCAGGCAGGGATATGATTTTCCCAGGTCTGTTTCAATACAGCAAGCAGCAGATACATCTTCCTTCTCCACTTAATCTTTTCACCTCCCTGGCTGCTGTGGGAAACAATTATGTCACACAGAGGCCCAACAAACTTGTCTCACTAATGAGGCAACAGAGCACAGGGCTGTGTGCCCTTCTTAAGAAGTTCATTATTTTAAATCATTCCAGCAGGCAGTTTCTAGTCTAGATGATACATTCCCAAAACTGCACTGCTGGGGTGCGTGCAGGGCAGAGAGAAAATAAGAGGCGTGTGCAGACAGCCACAACCAAGTCTTTCTTCTGAAGGAATTCAAAATAGTTTGGGAGAGTCACTCAGCAAGGCCCACGTCTCTGAGATCAGACTAGAGGTTGCAAAGACTCTTGCTCCGAGGAACTGAAAGACACACACAGAGTTCACTATTTCATATGCACGAGCTATATCTCTCCCACACCCAGCTGATGGCATTGTAGGGCCTTCAAAACCTTTAAAGCCCGCAGCTTTCTAATGCAGACCTTTTCAGACCAAACAGGCCTGTCTTGAGCATCCCATCTTCCCCTCCCATCACACCTGAACAGCCAGGCAGAGCCTATTTCCAATGCCCAAGTGTCACACCCATGCTGGCACTGTCTTCCCTGTGCTGTCCTTGACAGGCAGAGATGTTTTCTGACAGCTCAAGGCATCCCTCTCTCCTGTTCAGGTGCAGAAAGCAGAGGATGATTTCTTCAGGTTGCAAGCAAAACATCCTGTTCCCTGAAGGACTCACACTGCAGATCCTGAGAAGTTTCTCTGCTAGAAACAGCAAAAGTTAAGAAAGCAGAGATGCTCTGAGCCCTCATTAGATACTGTAAGAAAAGGCATGCCAAGGCAGACTACATTAATTCCTGTGATATATGAGGTAACAGGAACACCATGCTCCATAGTAAATACATGTGATTCTTTATATAAATAGACATGATTAAATACCACGTAGCAGTAAAACACCTCCAGGTCAGCAATAAATCCCTCCTCTGCAGTTACTTGTGCTCTAAGCAGTAATGGAGACCCTGCAGTCAGTAAAGAAAAACATTTGAAGAATCTCATTTTTATGGCAAAGGAATGAACAAAAAGCACAGAACGGGGTTCAGAAGTTCAGAAACACTTTATTTTGCCTTCTGCTATTTTCTTAAGAAAACAAAACAAAACAAAGTCTGCTTGTTTTAAAACCCATTCAAAAGGCTTCTGAGAGAACCCCCAGAGAAGTAAGGAGTGGATGACATTACAACAGTGGTATGCAAATGGTCTTTTCCCCAGGAAATATAAGATTTTTGTGTTCATATTGCAGTAATTACAGCTTAACAATTAAGAGGACTATGATTTTATTCACCAAGCCTAAAAGCTTTAAGTAAGACATCTCAGTCATTGCTTGGATAACATTGGAGACATTTCTTCGGACAGTTATAGCTTGTGATTCACTTGGAACAGTTTCCTAGGGGTAAGAAGTAGTCTGGAAATGGAAATCCCACCAGGTCTCCCTTTGAAAAAGAACTGCCGTGTCTTATCGAGTACATCACCTATGGTCCACAGTAGGAAAAGTTGCACTGTTAGAAACACAAACTCACTCCCTATTTGTTATGAGCTGGATCCAATAAACAAAACGACCTATGCCAGCATCTCCAAAATTCACAGTCACCCTGAGACAAGTTTAACTTCCACTTCTCATTCATCCTCTAGCCTGCACTGAGCCTAGCCCTCAGATGCTGAAGAGCTCCGAACCCATGTCCCCAGGCATGGCTCACACCACCCTTACAGCACTGCCAACGGCAGGCATAAGATTTGCAAATCTTCAAGCAATTAAAATGCAATGTGTCCCCTGTGCCTAAAAATGTTCTCACCTTCTTCTGCCTCCTAATTGGGGTCATAGCTGCACATCAAAGGTGTCAGAGACTATTCAAGCTGTAAGGTAAGATGAGCTATTGGAGAAGCACAACTGTAGTGTATGCAGAAGGGGCTTTCATATACAACTCCAACACAGGACGTGCAAACCAGTGGTGTATGAGCACCTGACACTCTGACTCTGCAAACATTAACCCTACGCAAACAGAGAGGTTACAGACTCTGACGTGCATCAGACCTCTGCGGGGACACAGCGGCGGTAACATATCCATCACTGTGTACCTGGCAAAGTCTAATATAACCACATTGGCTTTGATGCAGTGGACTGAGGTTTTCCTGCACTGCAGATCCCCCTGCATGAGACGGCATGAGATGCACCCGGACAAACTACGCGCACCCCAAGATTTGGGTGTTGTCAGCTCTGTGCCTCTGCTGAACTACGTTAGGAAACATGGGGCATGGGGACCTGGGTGAAATCCACCCTGTTTGAATCTGACCCCGAATGCCCGGGAATAAAAACACACACACAAAACGCAGGCACCACTGGGATTAGGTTGCAGCTCTCCCTACACAATAGCTCTTCCCAAAGCACTAAGCCACCAGCCAACAGCACCTCTTCCAGAAAGAACCACTAAACACCAGTTAACGCACATCAAAAAAGTTTAATATTTTCACAAGTATCACGTAACACTAGTATTGGAGCTACTAGTGTGCAAAGTAAAAAGACTCTCTACCTTTGCAAAACCAGTTAGGCATGCAATTTTTCAGGTAGACACACAAAGCTGCAATGACTGTTTGTGACTTACATGTTACTTTACAACATTCACTCACAGTGCACCATAATGCATATTGAAATGTTATCGATAAGTAGGGCAATCCAAATCTTAAGGGAGTGGAACGAGGACAAAGAGGAGTAGCCTGCAAATTTCCATCTACTTTCTGCAGGAAAAGGCAGCAGGGAAAACCATGCAGACATCTCAAATTCATTTTTGGTAGAAGAGCGGGAATTAAGGACTACTAGGTGGTCTCCCTCTCTGCAGAAAGTGGTGTGACTTGCCAATGTCATTCAACGTTTGCTTTCCTAACTGCTTCCCAATTTAAGTAATGCAACTGGTATGCAAATATAATAATGGCATTGACTTGACAGAGGACAGAATACACCAAGTGTATATGATCTTTGTTGCTGCTTCAGTCCTTGGAATAAGCTGGGTCCGATTTTGGCTTTGTCGTTTGTTTAGTTTATGCACCCAGGTCCTCTAAGGCAAGATCAAAATCAAACCCTCATCCTCCTTTCTGAACGCTAACTCTAGCCGAGTGTTTGTGTTTTGAGTGGCTGCTTAACAGTATTACAGATTAAAGCTTTGTGTGGAAGCAAATACCCATTTAAGGCAAGAGACGGAAGTATACACATCCAAGGGACACTGTCTAGCTGCAGATTCGGTAGAAGGGCAGCTGCAGTGCCCTGATCTAGACTAACAAGAAGAGATAGAAAATATTTTTAATAAGAACTCTTAAACAGAAGAATACAGCACAGCCCGCCTAGGGACCACAAATCTACTGATTTCCCGGGTATGGAGATTTGGATTACCCCAATCACCAACCACTTTGTTTTACTCTTTAGGGATTTCTTGCCGAAACGTGACAGATTTCGCCCAGTAACACAACACTATTCACAGAAGCAATGGGAAATACCAGTGGAACCAGATCTGTGGGACAGGGGCGTTTACTTTTACTGTGACAAAACAGGCATCAAGGAAGCAAGTCAGTCGCATTGTCAAGTCCCACTATAGAGTTACGTGCGTGCACA